TGTGACTTGACTTGACTCATGACGATCAACTGTGACTTGACTTGATTCAGGATGGGCAGCTGTGACATAACGGGGTGCTGTTGTGTCCGCCATTTTGTGAGAGTGCTCCGCTGTTGCCGCCATTTTGTGAGCGTGCTCTAGTGCGGCCGCCATTACACGAGTGAGTGTGGGGTCGCGTTCCTCTGCGATACCCACAGTGAACGCTGAACCAACAGACAACAGAGCATAATCCATAAAATCACTTAGAGAAGAACGGGGACCCTCACGGATTAATCGTGTCTTTAAAGGTTCATTGATACCCTCACAAAAAAAGTCTATGAGCACACAGTCAGGCAGATCAGAAAAATATGCAAGATCTAAATACTCTTGTACATAATCCTCGAGCGCTCGCAAGCCCTGCTCGAGGGTTAATAACAGTCTTGCAGTGTCCATACCTGGCCAGTGTCCACATGAAAAGCTGCTGGATCCTTGTGGGGCCGAGTATTCTGTTACGGAGCCGAAGAGACGAGAGACGTGCGGATCCATCTGCAAAGCTTTTATTTAAAGGCGTGGTCATAAAACAGGCAAGGTTCAGACAATGGCAAACAGGTATATGAGGGCAAGACGAAGAGTAATTCAAAACGGGCGTGAGTCAGTCGACAGCAAACGTTATGCAGAGGGCTTGACAAGAGGGGCAATCCAATAACACGAGCAATAGTCCAGGCAGGAGCAAACAGAGTCCGAACGGCGAGACAAAAGGGCAATCCGAGAAACACAGGCAGGAATCAGAATGAGTGTTATATAGTGAATGTGTGATTGGTTACAGCTGTGTGCAATCAGTGCTGTGTGCAATCAGTGCAATGGATGATGGGATATGTAGTCCGGGATGACATGCAACAGTTTGTGTAGTGCGAGAGTCAATGTAATGGAAGGGTGACCTCTGCTGGTGAGTGAATTGAAGTTCATAGACCGGATTTGTGACAGCAAGCTTCTAGAGGGAACATAAATCTGAAGTAATTAATTTAGGTAAAGGGGTGCAGAGCCAGTGGTGGTTTTGTAGGCAAACATTAATGCCTTGAATTTTATGCGAGCAGCTACTGGTAGCCAGTGCAAATTAATGAACAGAGGTGTGATGTGCGTTCTTTTTGGCTCATTCAAAATTAATCTTGCAGCGGCATTTTAACTGTAACATGGATTAACTGTAGAGGTTTGATAGAAGTGGCTGGAAGACTTGCCAAGAGAGCATTGCAATAGTCCAGCCTGGATAGAACAAGAGCTTGAACAAGGAGTTGTGTTGCATGTTCTGAAAGAAAGGGCCTGATCTTCCTAATGTTGTATAAAGCAAATCTGCAGGACCAGACAGTTTTAGCAATGTGGTCTGAGAAATTCAGCTTATCATCAATCACAACTCCAAGGTTTCTAGCTGTTTTTGAAGGAGTTATGGTTGATGAGCCTAACTGGATGGTGAAATTTTGATAAAGTGATGGGTTTGTTGAAACCTCAAGCAGTTCTGTTTTAGCCAGGTTGAGTTAAAGGTGATGATCCGTCATCCAACAAGAAATGTCTGTTAGACATGCTGAGATGCGAGCAGCTATCGTCGAATCATCAGGATGGAATGAGAGGTAGAGTTGAGTGTCATCAGCATAGCAGTGATATGAAAAGCCATGTTTCTGAATGACAGAACCTAGTGATGCCATGTAGACAGAGAACTGAAGTGGTCCAAGAACTGAGCCCTGAGGTACCCCAGTAGCTAGATGTTGCGACTTGGACACCTCACCTCTCCAAGATACCTTGAAAGACCTATCTGAGAGGTAAGACTCAAACCACTGGCGTGCGGTTCCTGAGATGCCATTTTCTAATAGAGTTGACAGGAGAATCTGGTGGTTCATCGTATCAAAAGCAGCGGACAGATCCAGCAAGATAAGTATAGAAGTTTTGGAAGCCGCTCTTGCCAGTCTTAGGGCTTCAACAACTGAGAGAAAGGCAGTCTCGGTCGAATGTCCACTTCTGAAGCCAGACTGGTTGCGGTCCAGGAGGTTGTTCTGTGTGAGAAAGGTGTTTTTGCAATGAAAGGTAGAAGGGAAACCGGTCTGTAGTTCTCTAAAAGAGTTGGGTTATGAGTGGGTTTCTTAAGAAGTGGGGTTATATGAGCTTGTTTAAATGTTGAGGGAAAAACACCAGTGTGAAGGGATTTGTTAACGGCAGGAGAAATGGTTTGAAGGAGATGAGATGGAATAGGATCAAGCGAACTAGTAGGATGATTCGAAAGGATGAGTTTAGACACTTCTGCATCAGAGAGTGGAGAGAAGGATGAAAATGAGTGTATGTTTGCTGGTATGATGTGTTTGACAGTTTGTGGTGTGGCAAATTGTGTACTGAGATTTGTAATTTTATTAATGAAGAATGTGGCAAAGTCGTCAGCTGTTAGAATTGATGAAGGAGGGGGAGGAGGAGGACAAAGGAGGGAGGAAAATGTTTTAAAAAGCATGCGAGAGTTAGGCGAATTGTTAATTTTGTTGTGATAGAATGTCCTTTTAGCAGTGGAGACATTAGCAGAGAAGGAATGATTAAGGTCAGTAGGATTTTGTGATTTGTGTCATACTCTTTCTGCAGCTCTGAGCTTAGAACGATGCTCACGGAGAACATCAGATAGTCAAGGGGCAGAAGAGGTGGTACGAGCTGGCCTGGAAGACAAGGGGCAGACACTGTTTAAACAAGATGTAAGATGTAAGAGTGGAGCAGAAAGTATCAGTAGCACTGTTAACATCCAGAGATGATAACTGTTCAGGGGAAGCGAAGATGAAACCATAGCAGATAGCCAGGTGGGTGAGAGTGAGTGTAGGTTACGTCGAAAAGTGACGTGGAGGGGTATGTGTTGTGTCAGGAACCATGTTGAGGTTAAGAGTAAGGAGGAAGTGATCCGAGGTGTTATTAATAAATCTATTGTTCCATGTTCGTTTGTATACCGCACACAAAGTTTATGAGCATAGTCCAAGTCTTCTTCTCTGTTTTTAGTGTATCTCTGTGGCAGAATTGGGTCCTGGGGGTCGATAAACAACTATAATATAGGATTTTAAGAGGGTGGGTAATAGTGGCTGAATGTGATTCAAAGATTCTTCAGACGAGGGGAAAAAAAGATCAGATAGGGAAAGCACTGGCTTCATGTGGACGTAGCCTGAGACAAGAAATATATACACTTACGAGCTGCTTTTAACTTCTGCTGATTGACTGCTTCTCTCAAAGAGTATATCTTTACACTGTGTTTTGCTGGTGATTGAACACACTAATGCTCCAGGAAAGCTCTTTTAATGCTGAGCTAATCAAAATGACCACAGGTGATCACAAAGTCAAATGGATTTGTGTTCCATTGAGAAGGTGATTAGCTACACCTCATTGAGTTTTGAGATTTTAGACATTTTTAGGAGGCGTGTGATCTTTTTTCCAACTCAGATATTGTTTTGTATTTTTTTTTTTACTTTTTTTAGGCATGTTGGTGTTATATCTTTCACTTGGATGTTATAAGTTGCAATGAGTAAATACAGCTGGATAAAACAAAAACTGTGTCCGTCTTCATTTCAGGCTGCAAAGCAACAAATTGATTCTATACTATACCCACTGAATATAGACTTGTATATAAACCCACTGTATATAGACTCTCATTACAGACTTGTCTGCTATTTACATGCGTGAAATAGTGCAATTCACTATATGTAAAGGGTTCCCTCATTTTTGTGGCAATGCAGTGTATGTGTAAGTCAGAACAGGCCACTTTGTTGTCATTATCATCCCTTATAGCAGGGGTGTCCAAACTCGGTCCTGGAGGGCCGGTGTCCTGCAGAGTTTAGCTCCAACTTGCCTCAAGATACCTGTCTGGAAGTTTCTAGTATGCCTAGTAAGACCTTGGTTATCTGGTTCAGGTGTGTTTGATTAGGGTTAGAGCTAAACTCTGCAGGACACCGGCCCTCCGGGACTGAGTTTGGACACCCCTGCCTTATAGTCAGGGTTTCAATTGGGCCGGGGCTGTCCGGGGCTGAGCCCCGGCACATAAGGGCCTTTCGCACCGCTTTAGTTCCAGAACTAAATGTACAGTACTAAAGTACTGGGACGATTTTGCGCGAACTATTTCCCAGTACCATTTAAAGGGTTGCATTCGCACCGAGAGTGTGTACTAAGAAGTGAC